TAGACACCTAATATTTCAAGAGTCGCCTTGTAGTGTCTTGATCTGCTAAAATTTCAGTGTCTACAATTTATCTCTAGTACTTTTTTATGTTAAAAAATGTTGCTTAGCAAAGAAGATAAAATTACCAGAAAAGACCATGAATCTGTTTAATTAGTGGACAGCTACTTTTTAAACTAATCCTGATAATAAAAGAGAGATAACAGGATGTTTAATTTGTGGCTCAAATAATTTTATGAATTAATTAGTTCATATATTCTGAAGAATATTTGGATAAAGTTATTCTCTAAACAAAGAAATAGCCGAAAAAACGAAACCATTGGATTTTACATCTTTAATTTTGATGATGCTATATTCGAGACGATGGAATGGTGCTCTTTAACTCTCTTTAATTCCAAACTTTATTTGTAAATAAATTCAAGCTGTACGCCAATTCCCATTATGGTTCCAGATTTAAAGTATTAGTTTTAACTTTTGAATGGGATTACTTTCCTCCTTTCCATTTGCCAAAAGTTGAGAAAAATTTCCATAAAAAGGTCTTGATTAATTAATCTCTTTAATTTAATTGAGCAGGAATTGGTTATTCAACCTGGAAGTTAGTAAGCCCATTTTTGGAAGATAACTAATCTAATTTAGAAATGAATAGTCTAAATCCTTTTTGAGTTTCACTTCAACACAGTCAATTAAAAAATAACTTAAAATAATTGCTCATAAAAAGCGAAAATAGTAACCTGAAAAATTGATACCTAGACTATTAATTGTGTAAAATTTATTTATAGTTTATAAGTTAAATTCATCTTGTTTTTNGGGGGGAAGCTACTTTAATTAACTTTTTTTTTGGCGTGATTACATTGACTAATAATGTGACAGGGATTCTTGGAAATAATTAAGCTTTATTGAAAGTGATTAAGTTAATAATGCGATTACGGAACCATGATTTGAGCATTTAGCTTGTGACTAATAACATGACAGCCTTAGTCATGTCTCTTTGTCAATTTGTTTTTTTTTTTTCTGAAAGGAAAGAAAAAGAAAAATGAGACACGAGACGTAAGATCGGTAATGAGTACAAGTTGGGGTGAATTAAATTCCACTAAGCATCTTTTCCTTACATTATTTTTAATTAGTTTATTATATTTTACCAGACATATATAGAGGTACAAAAGTAATTGGAATATAAAGGGGAAAAATTACCATCTCTTGTAGTATCGCCCGGGTTAGATCAAGTTGCATCCCCATTTTGCCATGTTCTCATTGGCCAGTTTCGTCGCACGAAATGAAAAAAGTAAAAGAAAAAATGTAACAAAAATGAGTGCATTTCCTTCTCATTTACCTAAGTAAATCTTAATGTGTGTTTTTTTTTTGTGATTTCATATTCAATGTTCAGTATTTATTTTGAACTAGACTAATTTAAATTCACGTCGAATATACATGAATTTCAACTTACGCCTTCTATAAAATTACTTTTGCATTTGCAAGTTCAAGAAATATTTGGGGATATATACCTATTGATTAGTAGCTTAGTTTTCAATAAGAATGAGATAAGATAATTATTTTTACAACCTAATGGTTGTAATGTTCCCGTTGTATCATTTTAGTATAAGTTTTTTTTTTGGGGTTTTCATTCTGGTATTTGGTACTTGCATTGTCACCCGAATAAATTCGGATTTGCGCAGGAAAACCCCACATTAAGAGGTAAAGTGCACCGTAACTAGGGGTATCAATGGATATTCGAAAACCGACTAAACCCGATCGAACCGTACCGCACCGAACCGATTTTTAGGTTTCTTTTTAAGAAACCGTAGGTTTTTATACAGATCTATAACTGCACCGATAATTAGGGTAGATTTTTTATTTTATAAAAATAAACCGATAAAATACCAACCATACCGAATAAATTTTACATGTGGAAAATATATTTATGTAGTAAGTTTAAAAATAATAATGCATTAAATTTTTTTTGGGTCTTGGAATTATAAAAACTATTACAAGCAAACAAGTAATTAAACTCAAAATACTAATTCCTATAACCTATTATGCTACTTCTACTTAAACTAATTTATTTCAAGTATCTCTATTAGCAAGACACAAAGTATTCTAGCGGTTATGAGTAGCAAACTATAATGTATTGAATATGTTTCTTCATGTAATTTAGATTTATCTTTTTGAATATTTAATCTTCTATAGACTTTATTCTTGAGTCCCAACTTGGTATATCTTTCAACCCGTGTGATTTATATTTTCTTTGCTTTGTTTGATTTCTTTTACATTGTTGTAGAATAGTTGATGGATATATACTCTAGCCATCTTTCTTTTTTCTTTTTTAATTCAATCACCATTTAAACAGTAAAAATATCTAGAGAGTTTTGCTAAATCCTCTAAAAGAACGTATATTATTGCACTATACTTCTACTGGTGAATTTTACATGATATTAAAAAAATACTGAAAATTAACCGAACCGTACCGATACCAAAGAGAAACCGACATGATTGGGACGGTTTCGAAAAGTCTAATTTTGCTTATAGATAATAGAATAACTGAAAAATTGATATGGTACAAATTTTATAAAATAATCGGCGAATCGAACCATTGACATCCCTAACCGTAACAACGGCGATTTCATAACTAGGGTTTCTAACTCTTCTCCTGCACATTCATGGATCCATCCCACCATAAAAAAATTATGAAAATTAAAAACTATTGACAATAGAAAAATGGGATAGCAATATTATATGTTTGTTTTTTCCTTCCTTCAACTAGAAACATGCAAAAATTAATATGCTGTTCTCCTCTAAAAATAATTATTACTATGTTGTATACTTGTATTAACACCGTACACGTACAAATTTCATTTTTAAATAAATGGGGGTAAGTTAAGGTGTGGGAAAAGCATCGGATCACGTTCTCTTGCTCCTATAACATGGACTTAATTATGGTCATTATACAAGGATCTAGTGATATTAGTATTTAGTAGTATATAATAATAACTAGATTTGTACTTGTGCTGAAATATTTGTTCCCTGCACGTGGGACTTGTTCTTTATAAAGTCAGTGCTTTCTCTGTTTTTGGAAAAATTTGAAATTTTTTGGATTGATTACCTATGTTTGAAAAAAGATTATGTTATGTTTTTGAACATTTTTGCATAAGTTGAACAAATTTGGATACATTTTCTAAGTTACATAATTTACCTCTATAGAATTACCTAAACTTGGTTCTTTTAACTTAGACCATGATATCATTGTCCCTATCTACTTTAGTTGCATTATTTTTACTTAGTAGGTTTATGTTTTCTTTCCTAAAATGGTACTCCATTATTACTTTAGGTGGATACTATATAGCTAATTTACAATTTAATACCATAACATTGCTTTATTGCTTCCCTAACTTATCTTAAAAGAAAGTTATTTAACTATTGGCAAGGAATAGGCTCAAATACAACGGAACAGAAATGGGAAGTTTCTAGGGAATATTTGAAATTTATTTATCAAAATTATTCTAATTTTGTATATTATTCGCTTTAAACAAGGATTACTTACAAATTATATATAATTTATTATAAGTGTCTTAAATTATGGAATTCAGTTATACCATTTTTCTTTTTTTCTCTCCTCTCCTCTTTTTCTATTCTCGGTCGCCTCTAGTCATATACAATTAATTATTAGTGTCTTAAATTAAGGAACTTTTTTTGTTTTTTTCTCTCCTCTCTTCTTTCCCTATTTTATGTCGCCTCTCTCCACCCAAATATTAAATCCTTGTTCGAGTTGCCTTATACCAAAGATAATGTTACTCAATTCATGCTCCAGTTTTCATTGCAGGCATCTACCAACAATGTTGACATTCCAATATATCAACTAATGTTTCTGTTCAGGAAATTGATTATAAGTCTCAAACAATAAGATTATCAAAACTCAATTCTTCGTGTCTTCCCAGATCAAACATAAACTCGTCTGCTTTGCCATTATACACAAAAGTAGTGGTTGTTATAAAAGAAAACAGAAATATCGACCAACCGAAAGCAAAACAATATCGCTTGCATTAATTTCTCCCAAAAGAAAACTAAGATTAGGACATTTGAATGCATTTAGAAGGATTGGAAAACACATTTCACATGCAATTCCCTTTTTGGCCATTTACTATAATTGACACTTAAGGTCTAGAACTAACTCAATTATTGTCTGGCCAGGAAGAAATACGCAAACAAAAGGAAATATGCTAGAGTGAACCCCACATAACTCCTTCTACTCATATCAAAAGGTAGCCTGGTATACCAAACTCCCGCTATGTACAGATTTCGGGAAAGGGTCGGACCACAAGAGTTTACTGTACGCAACCTTACCCTACATTTCTGCAAGAGCCTGTTTTCACGGCTCGAACCTGTGACCTCCAAGTCACATGATAGCAACTTTACTAGTTCACTCTTAATCAAAAGGAAACAATTTAATTTGTGGTTTGGGGTAGCTTGGGGCCCGTGTAAGAAAAACTTATTCACACCCAACACTTATATCGATTTAATAAATATATGATATTTATCTTTGTATTAATTTGTACTAGTTAATTGTAGTTGAATAATCGAATATTTTTCCACCCACTGTTTTGTGGGAGGGTGTTTTCAGAAAAAGGAAGGCAAAATTGGTGGAATATAACTGCATCGATCAATTGTTGTTGAACTTGTCTAAAGAATCAATGAGCGTGAGAGCAACAGCCAAAAATATCTCAAAACCTTTGTGGGTGATGGTTTTGCACCACTTGTATTATATGACTAAAACTATTTACAAGATTCTGCTATTATGTTCTTGTTCAAAAATATATTCACAGGAATAACTATCGTAAATATATAAATTCATCCCATATATATCAATACATAATATCATTTGAAGTCATCACCATAACCATATGATATAATTATTGAAAGTCAAACCCAAGAATAAAATTATTCTAGATAGTTGCATTAACTTAGACTTGGGAAATAACTTGGGAGAATATTGAGCATGCTTGAAATGGTTATTAATAATATTATATTATATTTTACATCAATAAAAAACCAAACTTTCCAAATACAACTTCATAAGTTCTTGAAAGAGGCCAAATATGAGATTACAAAGCCCCCATGTACAAGAACACCAATAGTTACTACTATTATTTCCCTCAAAAGGAATTTATTCTTAACCCTACTTGACAAAGCTTAACAAAAGTACTAATACTTCTACTACTTGATACATTTTTTTTTAAAAATTTTTAGATCTACTGCTTAAAAAAATTCTCTTTTGATTCTTTCTCTTCAACCATATGATATTCGAAACTGACTGGTCTGGCTAATCAGTACTGCAAAACATCTGCAGTCATAATAGGCTGATTGGCACAAAGATAATTCCAAGAATTGGTCATGTTGAACCCATCAACCATAGGTTCATTTTGTGCAAAATTGAAGCTATAAGGCTCTTCTTGATTATGGTCCATATTGGCAAGACCATTACAATTGTTGTTGGCATCCAAGAAAGCAATAATTTCATTGAGTGACTCAAGCCTGTGATTTAATTCAGCTAATTGAGCTCTCAAGATTGAATTTTCAGCCTCAACATTAAGATAATGTTGTGTGGTAACATTCATACTTGTCAAAATCTGGTTATTTTCTTTTCTTAGTGTTGCAACTTGAGCCATTAAATCATCCAAATGTTTCTGTTTTCTCATCCTTGATCTTCGAGCTGATTCTCTGTTTGATATCATTCTCTTCCTCTTCCTTTGATCCACTAATTGCTGAAGATCTTCTTCTGAGCCTGAGTTTTGAAGAAATAATGATGACCCTGATGATGTTCCACTTGATGAAGCCATGACCAAATTTTTTTCAAGAACAATAGTAATATTTTCAAGATTTAAAGAGTTAAAAGTACAAAATAAAAAACTAGTAGGACCCAAATGGAGTTTTTGACTTGGACACAATTAACTATTAAAAATACTGAAGATTTATTTCTTGATAATGATAATATATAAAGGGGTTAATACTTATTTAGGGGGAGAGGAGGAAAATCATGAAATGTAGTAAAACCAGTAGAGGAAAACAACTGAGAAAGATTGCACCAAATGGGCCCTGCGCCTATATGTGGAATTTATCATAAACCCCGAAAGAAACAGTTCACTGAGAATTGCAGACATGAATTTCAAAGATTAGAAATACTAGGGGTAGCATTAAGATTAGCTAAAATAATAAAACCAGTGATAATTAATTCTTAGTAAATATATATATCAAGGCTAGATTTCTCCTGTTGAGGCCCAGCCTGATAACAACAGAAGAAAATGAACAAAAAGGCACTTTCTTGGTATTTTTTCAGAGATTTTGGGTGGAGATTTCAAGAAAATCTTGAAACCAAAAACTAAAACTTGACAGAATAAGAGACCAAGAAAAAAGAGAGCCTTTGGTTATTGGCAAAGAGCAGAGAAAAGGAAGGAGAAAAAGAGAGGGGTTAAAGAAGGTGTTTTGGCTGGGATTTTATAGAAGAAAAAAGGTGGGTGACAACAATTAAAAATTAGATTTTAATTTATATGGACCCTAATATAGAACTATAGATTTTTACATTATTAATATTTTTATATTATTATAGCATGTGATTTGTCTTACTTTTAAAGTTAATGGAATAGTAATTTTTTTTTTATCTACAATTACTTACTTCTATTTTCTCGGTGAAATAATAATATAAAAAAGTTACACTAACATGTATAACAAAATTTTATTCTGTTGAGTATTTTAACGTGTGTTGCCGTATGCATAATCGGATCAAGTATTTAAATTTTATGGGTTCAACGTTAATATTTTGGTATTGAACCCATAATATTTTTAAAGTTATGAGTTTATATATATACTATTTTTGCAAGTTTCATAATTTTTTTACACATAATATTTTACCCCGCATCGAAATATGAGTTCAATTAAACCCGAAGTTCATCCGCCCCTCATAGTAGGCAATATGCTCATTTTTTAAGTTACTAATCTCATGTTTTATAAATTAATATAGTAATTATAAGTAACCTAATAAGTCGTAGAAAAACAATTTACATTAACATTTGTAAAATTAAACTCATTAAAAAGTTGTTCTAAGAATTAGGGAAAAAAAAAATTGAGGGGTAAAAATAAATATAAAATAGAAGTTTGGAATCTACTGAGGAAAAAGGTGGGGTGGGGGAAGAAGGTGATGGGGACGTGGGGTGGGAGCAGAAACCTCCATGACCGTGTAGATCCAGCTGTGGAGCAACATCACATACTAAAGTTAAAATCTTCAACTATTCTCTTTCCTCGTAAGTCCTCAAATTTGTGCACAATATCAATTAAGCCCACATAAACTTGGCAATCTTTTATTTTTTTTACTTTTTAAAAAGGAAAATTGGGGGAGGCGATTATACGTGGTGAATTAATCTTTTACCAAGAAAGTAAAAGTTCAAACAATCAATCTATTGAGCTACTAATGTCTAATTATTGCCCTATTAATTAAAACAGTGAAGAGGAGGTGTATAGATGCTCCGGTGAGGAGGTGTGAAAGATTGGGTATAAGGGGTTGAGGAGAGGTAGATGTAGGACTAAGGAGTATCAGGGAGAGGTGATTAGATATGACATGACGCTACTTCAACTTACTGAGGTCATAACCCTTTATAGAAAGGTATGAAAGTTGAGAATTAAAGTAGAGGGGTAGTGGTTTAGCGGGCATAGCTTATTTATATGTCGATCTTATTAGCGTCTGTCTCGTATTTTCATTTCTTCGTATCCGCTTATTTCTTATACTATATGTTGTTTCTTTCGCTTCGGTTATTATATCACCTTTGCTTGCTATGATTACTACTTGTCGTTTCTGCTTCCTTATTAGTTTTTTTTTCTCTTGAGCCGATGTCTATCGGAAACAGACTCTCTAACTTCTTAAAATAGGGGTAAGGACTGCATACACGTTATCCTCTCAAACCTCACTTTGTAGGATATTATTAGGTTTGTTGTTGGTGTTGTTTGTTGTAATTGAAACAGTAAACTTAAAGTTTAAAAATTATGAACTATATTTTTTGTAATATCAAATATTTTAAAATAATTTTAATTAGTCAAAATGACTAATATATGTAACTATTACTTCTCATGTTTTCCATAATTATGTTTTATCAATAGAAAATTTCAAAAGAGAGTTACTCCATCCGTTTCATTTTATGTGAACCTGTTTGACTCGCACGGAGTTTAATAAGGTTAAAAGGAATTATTTCCTTTTTAGGGAAAAGAAAATGAAGATGTAATCAAGTCCAAATGTCCAAGTTGTAAATGAAGTCTTTTTAAGAAATAATTTATAGTACAACACAGTGGTAAAGAGTACACACGGGGGAAAAGGCAATTAAAACAAAGTTACAAGGTAGGTGTCTTCATATTATTGCTGCGAGTGGTTAAAAGGTCTATTCCCGTGTACACTCACTACAGTTAGAAATAACTTACAGTAAGCTTTTTACTTTTCTTCTTTTTCTTTTTCATTAAATTTTGCTTTTGTCTTTTTCTTTTTCTTTTTCATTTTTAATTTGTTTCTTTTCAGATGTGATGTTTTTAAATGACAGGAGTCATCTCGGTTAATGAAGTATTATTGGGATGTGTAGGTAAGCAGTAGAGTAAATTGTCCGAAATGACCCTAAATGATTCAGATTTCCGTACATATTTAGTGGTAATTTTGACATCCCATTCGCACACCATGCAGATTCCTTTTGAGTGTGTGTTTGGTCCATATCTCTAGTGGTTGTTTTTTCTCCCTCACCGCAGGAAACGCCGAGCAAAGATTTGAATCTTATGGGTTCAGAATTATAATCTGTTTAATTTACTGTCTTTTTAATTAATAATTTGTATATATTTATTGAATTTTTTAATACAAATATATAATTTGAACAAAACTATTGAACTAGGCCGAGAACACGGTGGCTAGTGTCACGGGACGTTTTTGGTCAGTCAAAAGTCACACCCGCGCGGCAGTCAAGTTGCGCACTTGACTCAGCCTTCCCCAAACACTTAGCCAATTTTCAGCAAATTTGGCTTTAACGATTTTAGGCAGCAATTCAATAAGAACAACAGCAAATACGGGAAAATCCCAACCTTCGCATTAATATTGAAAATATACAAAGGACCCCTCACTTTACTATGAACACAAGTCGTTCACAACCCACTTTTGACAAAGAACACAAGTCGTTCTTGGCCAAACACTAAGACCTGCCCAAGCCTAGCCTTAGTCCCTTTTTGAAACACTTGAAACCCTCACGTTTCACTCTTGTTTCACACTTATAATTTCACACGAAATTATCCACACCCTTCTGACTAAGTCCAAAAGCCCTATTTATAAAATATAGGCAACCCTTAGAACTTGACAGCACAATGACACTTGTCGTCTACAGCTTTTGCCACTTGTCAGGCTAAGACTAAATCTATTCCTAACATGTAGTTGACATCCCCAACTACTTAGGACATGATATATACGAAATGGAGTAATGATACAAGCATAAATCAGTCATGGTACAAAGAGGTTATGACAAGGTAACCGCCAAACTACTTTTCATGTGCATTGCATGTGCCATCTTCACTTGCCCAGCTGAATCACGTCCAAGGCTGGCATTGTGCCCAGCCTTAGCTCATATTGACATTGCTCCGCACCAATGCTATGCCCGCAATCCGCCGCCCATGATTTTGCCGCCCATGCCCGACGTCGCTGCCACCCGCACACTGCCTTGCCCATGTCAACCTTTATTTCCTTCGTGCCATTGCTTGTATTTTCCTTCACATAGCTTTGACTTAGCTATTGAAAGCCTTTGCCATCATCCCTCATTTCCGCCTTGCCTTAACTTAGCCCGCCCTTAGATGCCACAACCCAAAGTGTAGTGCCACTAACTTTGGCGCGCATGCCATGCCATGTCGCCCTATCATTGCCCACACAACTTTGTCAAGCCTTTGCCAAGTGCGTCTTGGCTGTCCCAAGGCCTTGGCCAGTACTTGTCCACAACAGCCCTCAATGCAATGTCTTATCCGTCGTCCGCATGATCGTTTTGCCCGCACATAGGCGAATGACAAGGTTATCACGCCCAAATCCTTGCCACAGCTATGTCACGCCCGATGACAAAGAGTGAGGCCCTAATAGCTAGGCCCTGATTGTGCGATACTCGTTTTTGGGTTCTACTAGTTCAAATTTGTACCAGAAAGTTTCATTTTGAAGTAAAGAATTAGAGGCTATATCATACTCGTGACCCAATTTACAATCTATAACAAAAAAAGTATGAATATTAATTTAAAAATGTGAATTTGGTCCTCAAATCTGAATGCATTTCAGACTTCCAAAGGTATATGTATTTTTTTGCGATGAGATTAAAGGATTAGAATAACATAGGCCATGAATGTTAATGGCCATGCAAATGTGACATAATCAGAATTAAAACAAATTGACATTTTCTTTCGAGAAAATGATACTGTATAACCGCTCTCAAAATAATAGCCGAAAAAAGTATATAAAATTTGTCTAATTTTTGTGTACAACATACACATTCTGTATGTTATACACAAAAATTATACTCCATCCGTTCCAGTTTATGTGAATCTATTTCCTATTTAGTCCGTTCAAAAAAGAATGACTCATTTCTAAATTTGAAAACAATTTAGCTTAAACTTCCAATTCTACCCTTAATGAGAAGCTTTTATAGTCACACAAATACTCTGGACCCTTTTTTGAATTGTTTAGAACCACAAATTCCAAAAGTCTTCATTTTTTTTAACTCCATGCCTTCACATAAATTGGAACGAAGAGAGTACAAATTTTATATATTTTTTCGGTTATCGAATATTGCGTTACTAAAAGTGTAAGAAGCCCTTTTTTTAACCGTACATGGTCCATGCCCTTTGATTTCTTACCAAATAGAAAATAATATCGACATTCGTCTCATTTCATTATTAGTCCCAACATAAAGAAAAGCTTAAAAGACGTTCAGAGTGAGAGTGTGGATCTGGAATCTTCACAAGGAAAAGTTTAAAAAGCTGCTTATCAAATGAATCGTGTCCCCTACAAAAATATATGATTGATGATGGAGCTCCAGAAATAAATGAAGAAAAAGACACCAACGGTGGAGCCATACACTCTTTACTCGTAACAACAGAAAATATACAACACTCATGTGTGGGGGCCTACTTGCTGGTGAGTTTTTTTTTTTAAAAAAAAAAAAATTATACCGTGTAATAAGATCCATTAAAAAGTAAAGCATTATTAATCAAAAATTTTATTTTTAAAATTTGATCTCGAGATATCTTATTATAAGTGGTTGCGAAGTTCTATTCATTTCACTATAATTGTTTGTGATGATGGTAAGCTTCTTTCGTACCTTCAAAAAAAACATTATAAAAATCAGTCAATTTAAAGTAGCATTTATATATAAAACACAACAGTAAAAAACTTGGTTCTTTCAGCTTTTGCAGAAAGTTGAAAAAACATCAACCAA